CTTCAGGTAAGTTGAGGTAGACGACCTCCTAACTACAATTTCTATTTTTCGGAAATTTAAAGAAGTCTGACATTTTTCCGCAATGCGTTACACTCTAATACAGGTAAGGAAAATCCACAAATATAAATCAACAACATTTCTAAATACACTAAAATAAAAATACATATAGCAGTTATTAAAATATATTTCACTGTCTATCCTAATTCCCCCCCATAAAACCCTATAACCGCGGTTTTCGTAGAAGATAATGCTGAGACTAGGAATTAGTGAGGTGCAATACATAAAATACTGTTGCTTTAATTTCTAGGGAATGTAAAAAGCTGAACATTCAAAAATTGGAGTATCTACCAGCAAGCAGACAGCGACTACTGGGGATCCCGGTTGCTGAGCCGGACTCCTTGCAGTTGTGTCAAGCAGTGGCAGAATACCAGCAAACCCCAGGTGTCTGGGCTTTTAACTAGTGCCTGTACTGCCATTAGTTTGAATAATTACTTAAATTATCTGTACTTCCTTAATCGAAGGTCGCAGCCTAGTCTCTAAAAATCCGTTTGGTCTAGATTTGAGGCTATGAGCCTGAAGTCACCAAATCTGTCGTTCGCTTGCAGACAAAGATTGGTACTTGGATGAAATATGAGAAGGCTCACGCTTGCGCGCAGTCTTACTTAATCTTTTAGCAGAATTTTGGGAGTGGAAGTGAATTTGTCGCAGAAAGTACTGCAAATCCTGAAACGCTGATCTAGAGTTACTGGCCTCAATAGGCCTCACATCATCAAAGGACTTCTGTGCAAGTCATTAGTCTTCTTTTCTCTTTAACGTGACAAAGAATTCTGTGGGATGCGGCAACGTCACAGACTGAACATTTACTGGGTCAGCTCTCCGGTCAAATAAAAATTAGACTTCCTTAAAAAAATACAGCGGATCTCCTGGCTCATGAAATAGTAATCGAACTTCTGCAATAGGTGTTCCACTCGAACAAAGTACAGGAGTAGACTTCTAAGATTAATTATCGTGAAGCCTAATGCTAAGCTATTTCACTCACATCAGTGTGCCGGTTTTTGAACGCGACTCCTCAGGACCTCTACGGAAAGCCCAATTTGCAAAAATAACTGCGTATGGAGAATGCTTTTTCTTCGCATTCACTTTGAATGCCCTTATAAATTCAAAAATATAAGGCATGCATAAAAATATTATTTCTTGTCCATGTATACAGCACATTTTATGCTTGATGAAACTGTAGCTTTCGGTCCTTATTTTGTGATTTTCAAGGCTACGAAATGTGCAGGCATGATATGTTGAATCCGTCAGTTTGTTAATGTTACCTATAAACTATATAACATGATCAGAATTCATTGCAAAATCTTATGAAATCTCTTTGACTGTTTTGTCGGAGCGTAGATTATTAAGTGGTTTCCTTTAGGCCGAATATATACAGCTTGCGGTTGGAAAAATTTGAATGAAGGTGGAATAGTCCGTAGGGTTAAACCTTTTCTAATATTTTGAGAGATTTTGAAAAATAAAAGATGTTCTTACTTTTAGCAAAAAACTTAAATAAGATGCAATTTGCTACCAAACGAGTACAAGAAGGGCATTGGAAATCAGTGAGAAAATGCATACTATATAACTAGTCATTTTTCACAGAGTATGCTTTGTGCATCTGTCAGAAGGAAAGTATTCTATAAGTTTACAGAAACACGTCAAGTATTGCTTGAGTAATGCTCTGTACTCATTAATTAAATTGCCCCAGTCCTGTTTCAACAAACCGTGTGCACGGAAAAAAGCAAACCATTCCAGCTAATGGTACGAATGACGTCAACAAAACACAAGCGCCTTAGAACATGTGTCTATCCCTGGATCTCTTACTCTGAAAACCAAAGCTTGCATATTTCAACATTAAAAAAATTAACTGAGCTTTTTTCCTTCCATCAAAATTTAAAAGGAGTATTTTTGGTGGTTTTCTAATGTATTTTTTATCAGAAAACCTGTGCAACAAAGTTAAAATTACTTATTTCTACAAAACAGCGCTTTTTAATAGACAGGAAAGAGTTTTTATTGCGGGCTGGGAGATCCTGGACGATAGTACAGCTTCGTTTAATTTCAGTCGATTCCAAGCATCCAGGAAAAAGACCAAATCTGCATCCCAGTGGGTGCCATATTTTATGAAAAACAAATACTTCAGGCATGGGGATGAAAATTGAGGCTTTTCACGTCTATGTTAGAAGCAAAAACTAATTTTTAGTCCTGTTTTTATGCAAATGTAATAATACGGTCGCCATTTTTATATATAAGTTCGTAGATTATTTCAATCAAATTAAATTAGTAAGAACCCAAATTCATAGGATGAAGAGAGTGCGTTTTTTATAAATTAGTTAATTCTTCCGAATCTAATGCTCCTGAACGTTGACTAAAATTTATCTTTCGGTTATGCTTTTCTTCCATTTTTAGAAAGCAAAATATAATTGAATAGAGTAAGCTGGGAAGGGCAAGTCGTGTGTCAATTTTATCTGCCTGGAAGATTCCTAACAATTAGTGTTTGAAAACATCTTCGTGTAAAGTGGTCCTTCTTGCAAATCTGTATGACGAGTAGTTTTTCTTCAAGCAGAAATCCCAGTGTAAATCGACTGGATGCAAAATTGGACCTTTAGTATGTTCTATGCATTAACTTTCTATTAAGACTAGAAGGTAATTTGCCAAACTAAAGTTGCAGTGACTGATAATAAACTCGCATGATGACAATGAAGGAGAACCTGCAGTACGCGCCAGAATTCGTGCAACATGCCGACATAGGCGAAAGATTGACATTCTTTTGGTAATTGCCATTGACTCAGGTTATGATACTGATTATCGTGTAGTCTATTCTGAAGTTATTTCAGTCATTACAGGATGCGGGCTTTTACGAGCTTTGTTCTGACCACTAACAAAGCGTATGTACTGTAAAGAGTTGCTGCTTAAATAGTATGCATTTTATTCATTGATTTCGACTGCCTTTATAAATTCAAATATATTTTATGGAAAACATGCACTTAAAAATTACTTCTTATACTCGTTTGGCAGCAAATTCGGCCTTCTTTAAATGTTATACTTAAAGAAAGGTTATCCTTCAGTTGTAGAAAAATTTCTAATAATGAGCTTCTTTACGATTGTGAGGTGTTCACTCATAATACATCGTATCCGTCAATTTATTAATGCTGTCTATACTGTATAAAACATGCTCCCCTGTACTGCAACATTTCATTAGAACTATATGACTTTTTCCTCAAACTGTAAGCGTCAAAACGTACTTTTCCTTAAACAGGATGTACACAGTGCGCAGTTTGCAAACCTTGAATTCTAGTGTAGCAGTCAGTAGGTCTTAAAATTATTCGGCATTTTAGATTACCTTCCTACAGGCTGAATCGCCGTAGAATCTTGTGTTTGCGCAACACTTTTATTTGTCTGACGACGAGCTGGTGAACCAGACTCGAAAATTCACACAATAAATATTATTCTTTCCTAAAGGACTTTATCGTTAACAATATCTATATGTGTCGCTTGAGATGTCGATATTTCAAGAAGAGATAATAGTCTACTTGATTATTTAGACTTACATGGGGCAGCCTCAGCCGTTAGGACGAGAAATAGCACCGAGAGTTGACTGATCATGATGAACCGGGTGGACCGTAGGCGCCTTGCCATATCTCCGCCTTTTATATGCCACTTTGTGATGCCAACTGTGTCAAAAGCGACAGCAACGCCTTGACAATAAGTTGCCAGAAAGACGGCGCGTCTTTGGCGAGCACATTTATCTCTCGGGCCTAGACAGACTTTTTACACGACGGCCGTGTAACCATGCTGTTGGC